CCACCGCCACGGCACCCTCCCCCGCACCCTGGATTCTCCCCTCCCTCGAACGTGACCTCCCCTTCCCGATGCGCGGACCTCCCCCCTCCCTCGCCGCGCGACCTCCCTCCCGCGCGCGCTGACTTTCCCTTTCCCCCACGTGCCGACCTCCTCTCCCCGGCGCACGACATCCCCCTCCTCTCCGCCCAGCACCTTCCCCTCCTCCTCCCCTTCTTCTCCTCCTCCGGCGACCCTCCCCCTCCTCTCTCCCTCGCGCACCCTCCCCGCTCCTCCCTCACGCGCGCTCATCCGCTGCATGTTTCATGGGGATGGCCAGACGTCTCACTGTTTGATGTAGGAGAGCCCGCACTGCCAGCTGCAGGGAAGTCCCAGACCTCCTTCTTCTCCCCCGCGCAGCTCCCCTCCTCCTCCTCCCCCGCACTCCCCTCCCCTCCCGCGCACCCTCCCCTCCTCCCTCCTCGGCGCACTCCCCCTCCTCCCTCCTCGCGCGTCACCTGCATGTTCATGGGGGATGCCAGCACGTCTCACTTGTAATGTAGAGAGCGCACTGCAGCATGCAGGAAGCACAGACCTCCCTCTCTCCCCACCTCCCTGCGCCACCCTCCACCTTCCTCCTCCTCCCCTCCCAGTGCACCTTCGCCTCCGCGTGCTCACCTGCATGTTCATGGGGATGCCGGATGTCTCGCTGTTGATGTAGAGCGCGCACTGCAGCTGCAGGAAGTCCCAGTCCTCGACGATCATCTGCACCTTGGCTCCGGTCGCGCGGTGCTTCTTGATGACGTCGTTCAGGAAGATGATCTCAGTCAGCTTCATCGTGATGTCGTCCTCGTTCCTGCAAACGTTCGCATGCATGGTTCGTTCCTGTGTTGTTTATTTGCACGTTCGTTCGTGTGCATTGTTCATTCATATGTTGTTTATTTGCACATTGTTCGTTCGTGTGTTGTTTATTTTCACATTCGTTTGTGTGTTGTTCATTTGCACGTTGTTCGTTCGCACGCACGTTGGTTTGTTCGCGAGCGAGCGAGCCGCAACAAAACGAGGGTGGCTGTAGGCTCACCGATACACACATATATTGGGCTATACCTACTACTCGCCCCACCCCCCTTTCTTCTGCCCCTCTCTTCCCCCTTCCCCCTCTCTTCTCTTCCCCCTTCCCCCTCTCTTCCTCTCTTCCCCCTTCCCCCTCCCCCCCTCTCTTCCTCTCTTCTCTTCCCCCTTCCCCCTCTCTTCCTCTCTTCTCTTCCCCCTTCCCCTCCCTCTTCCTCTCGTCTTCCCCCCTTCCCCCTCCCTTCCCCTCCGCTCGCCCGCCGCGAGGACTTACGTTCCGGACTTGAGGTCAGAGACGACGGACGGTCGGATGCAGAGCGGCGGCACGGGCATTCGCGTCAGTATGAGGTCACGGGGTCGTCCCGAGTCCGGATTCATCACGAGCAGCGGGCAGTCCTGCGACAGACGAATGCAGACGTAATCACGACACTACATAATACAGTAACGTTGGGAGAGTAGGATACACGCGGCAGGAAGGATGTGCGCGACGCAGAGGACTTCTCTCTTTTAATCGGTCAATCTCTCTTTCGTTCGCGCACGACGAATGTTATTAGAACCGAAGCACGATGCTAATGGCCCGACTCGTTCATATTGAATTTGGATGGCAGACGCAAATAAAGAAATGGCGTATCGTCGCCTGACTGACACTATTCTGAAGTGTGTATTCTCACTATTCTGGAGCTAACTGATCGCATACAGTAATGCAATCTAGTGCTACATTTTATTCGCAAGCAGGGGCTATGCTGAGGGCGTTATTTCATTGCTCTACCGGAATATAGTAGAATTGGTAGAAGCTGTATAATTCTAACCATGGTATAATTCACAAGTATAATTCATCCCTAACGTATGATGCTTTAAGATCGGTATCAAATAATTTAGATGGTCAACAATTTAGGGTTCATTTTCTTTTATCAAGTTTGATATCTAACATGTGATTGATAATGTAATTTAACCTACCTCATCCGGTATTCGCAAGAATAGATCTAAGACGATGAGTGGATTGAGTATGTCCTGAAATAAGACAAGCATCCAAACATTCTCACCCATTACACCCATTTATTATCGTACAAAAACAATTACACGATACCTAACGACATTCACGGCTTGACACTATGAAGATTAATCCCGGAAAAAAAAGAACAGATCGGGATATCCTTACACATAGAAACTCAACCTGCGCAGATAGATCCTAAACTTTCTACTAGCGAGATTTTTAACCGAAATCGAGCCGCTGTTAGAGGCTCTCATCCAAGATTTCTTGCCATTTCTGTTACCATTACGGACGACCCGATACCTGAGCTTTAGACAGGTGCCCTTCGATCTCCTTGTTATGCTCTATCGCCTCTTCAAATGACGCAAAGAATTCAGACTGTTCCGCGTCGTTCTTTTTAACATGACGGAATCTCTCGTGCACGATCTTGAGCAAGGCACATTTCTTTACAATTCCTGAAACACGGTGGCATATTCCACTTGCAATTCGATTTGAACTAGGCTGCTATTTAATGCTACAACATATTCTACATTAAATACTTTTTATATTAAGTCCTGAAATATTACAAGACTTTTTTAAACAACCGTTTCCTTGCACTTAAGTGATAGTTATGACAACGAAGTAAGCATGCAATGTTCTTTATTAAGTTAACTGTTTCTTAATTTCATTTTTTTATCACATTGATTCTGAACATTCGTTATATAATGGCATATTTAAATCACATAAATGTGGCGACTGTCATTCACGCACCGTTCTTGATTTTGCAGTAGGGGCAGTTGTGAACCTTCTTGCATCTGTCTGTAATTTTCTTCCTCAGTGCCTTCCGTTGCAGGTAGTTCAGATTTAGTCGTTTCAACGAATCCAGATAGCCCTGTCTCTCACCAGGTGGGAGTAAGACACGGCTACAAGTCTGGAAAATTGAGTGGGTGTGTATACGATATATATATATCGGGCATGGGTTGCAAATAATTGATGCCTAAGGCTTCACTCCATATCTGTCGTGGTTGAAATATTTTTAATTACATCTATGTACATAACATATACATATATACATGTACATTTAGTGGACAAGGATGTATACCTTGCAAATTGTTTGCAGTATGTTGATGATCGATCTGAAGTAGCCAGTGTGAAAAACCGGCATCTCCAAATCGATGTAGCCAAAGTGACCGGTGCACTCAGCCAAGTCCTTTCTGCATGTATCACACTTATTGTTCTTTTCGCTGGTACCCTAAAATATGAATTTCGATTTTACACATAATTGCATTCTGCACACGTTTATAATAGAACAGTTACTTTCAATCATATTTGATAGTTACATACATTCTCTATAGAGCCTGATCAAACTCACCTCATTCAACACAGATGGAGAATTCAGGGTAATCCCATACAAACTCTGTCTGACTGTGATATCAAAATCAACTATTTTCTTCCAAAGGGTGTTTCATTCATAAGTTGTATTTCACCCTTACCTTCTCCTCACAACCCTCAGCCCTACCCTCAACAAATGCAATCCTGTTTTAGGTCCCTGGATATTAAGGATAGGGTTATGATTAGATTTAGGTTGGTGTTAGGAATAGGGTGAAGTTAGACCTGGTGACAAGGATTATTGGTTATGGGTAAAGTTAGGGACAGAAATAGGGTTAGGGTTAAGGATATTACGAAGATGATAATGATGATGAGAATGGCAATGACAATAACAAGAGCGACGCCGCCGCCGACGACGACGACAACAATAACGACGATGACGACAACGATGATGACGACGATGATTTATGTAGTAAGGTCCAGGTCCGATAGCAGGATGGAGCCACAAAGGCCTGCGCTCACCATCCTGTGATCCAGCACTCCAAACGGGACGGGCGTTCTGGTGTTGTCCTGGGCATACAGGTTCTTGCTGACAACGTGAATGTGGGCCTGCTGCTTCATCTGCGCAGCAGTCTGAAGGCCGAAGCATATGTGGCTTCTACGCACAACACAGAGAACATGAGCGATTAGTGAACAATGTGCCTTATGTTCGAGCCTTATTCTCCATGAGGAGAGAAGGAAGTAAGCGAGATAGAGAGTACCTTATGTTACATTTTACCTCACAGCTCAATTTAGTGATAGGTCTACTATCTAGTGCGAGATAATCTGGAGTTTAATGGTAAATGGCATGAAACGGCGTTTTTAATGAATAATTTTTAAATGTTTAACAATTTTTAATTAGAATGTCTTCTCAATCTTACTATAATTTGGCGAATGTTGTATGTATGTATGTATGTATGTATGTATGTATGTATGTATGTATGTATGTTAATGAAAGGCTCCGTCAGTTTAGATTCAAATAGCGCCAAATTCACAGAAGAGATCGATGAGTACACGGGACGGGTTCTAAACTATACTCGGTTGAAAACCGTTTGTTCGGTCTTAAAAAAGACAAAAAAAAACTAAAAAGGTAAAGATTTGCCTGAAAATAGGGGGCGCTGTTTTGTTTTCGCTTTGTTCTGTGTATGTTTGTTCCCTGTGTGTGTGTCTGAGATTTTTGTAAGCCCAATAATGTAAGTAGAACGAACCATGTAATAATCAAGTTAAATATTCAGTAGCTATTTCGGCATAGTTTCCCATATGAGATGTACAAGTTGAATTTCATCAGAGCAGAATTTTTTTTTGGAAGTCTGCAATGCTGTACAGTGTACGGGTGTCTTGAACAGCGAGCTGTCACAAGCGGTCCGATCACAAGCACGTAATATTACATCGTCCGCACAGAGTGCAAACATGCGTAGAAATAAGCGATCACAACCAAGCAATATTACCTGGTCTGCACACAGTGGAAACATGCGAAGCACGTAATATTACGTGCTACGCAGCCAAGTGGTTAATCAGTCGCCCGACCTACCAGCCCATTCAGATCTATCTAGATATTCTAACTTTGGAGTCCGTATCATCAACCAGTAGTTCCTACATAGCATACAATAAAACATTTGTGTGTGTGTGCGTGCGTGCGTGTGTCTGTATTTCACTGTGTGCTTGCCAAACAAATGGTTAATGTGTTACGTGTAAGCATAATTGTACATGTATTTGTATTGACATCTCAACCATAAAAAACAAACATGTGCAACAACTAAACTCCATATAACACCTTACACATAACACTACTGTACTGGTAACACATGCATCACAGTTACTAAGCCTGCGCGTAGGCGGGTTTCAGCTAGTACATCTAATGCAGGCAGTGATACACTATATAGTTTGCACAGCGACCTCGCTGTTGTCCCAAAATTACTCAGAAACACAAAACCTAGGCTAATTTAGGGGAAATAAGTTTTTGTGAATCGGCGTGGATATTCGTCCGAGCATCGGACACCTGTTCGTATGCGCTATTCGTCCGAGCAT